AGTGGCTCGCGCCTTCGTCGAATGATGGGTAGCAAACTTCGGCTGCCCTTCAACCATCACTACAGACCGCGGATGTCAGTTTGAATCTGAACTTTTCCGTCGTCTGACCAGACTTTTAGGAACCACTCGCTTCTGAACGACTGCCTACCACCCACAAGCAAACGGGTTGGTAGAACGCTTTCACCGACAACTAAAAGCTTCACTATCAGCTGCAAACGTTTCACAGTGGACCGACGCTCTTCCACTCGTCTTACTAGGTATTCGCAATGCAGTGAAAGCTGACATTGAATACACTGCGGCTCAACTCGTTTATGGAACGACACTTCGACTTCCAGGAGAATTCGTAGATCCTTCGTCCTCTTCAATGAACATGGATCTAACCTCCTACACGAACAGGCTTACAAACGCAATGCGTTCAGTTAAACCTGTTTCCACTCGATCGCAATCACCTGATGTTTTTGTTCAACCTGACTTACAATATAGTATACACGTTTTTGTTCGTCGAGACTCGCATCGACGACCTTTCGAATCAGCATACGAAGGACTTTTCAAAGTTCTTCAACGCGAACCGAAGTACTATATAATCGATAAGAACGAAACCAACGATAGCATCAGCATCGATCGCCTCAAAGCAGCGTATTTAGAAGGAGATCCTATCTACGTCAATTTTCCTTCGGTACAATCGAACGACACGGCTCCACTCATAATTCCTCAATCGACAACCAACACACGCGATGTTACTCCGAATGTATCTGAAAATAAACTTAAAATGACGCGTTCTGGAAGAAGAGTTAGATTTCCAGAACATTTAAACGACCATTGCACGTAAGATACTGGTTGACATTTTATATCGTCTCGATTTTCCTTTGTACCATATATAATTTTAAAAAAAACAATTTCAATATGCTCATACATTTTTATTTTTATTTAAAAAAAACAAAAGAAACATATTATAAAAAAACTTCTTTTTAACGCTATTAGGTATGCATGACTTTATTTTCCATTTTTTCTTTCACTTTATGTATTGCGACATGCACTTACATTTCCTTTTTTCTTTTCCATGATGGCTGTGGCATCTTCACCTACTACTATCATTTCAATTCAGTTGTGTCCGCTCTGCCCAATTATCCTGTGTTTATTAATCAATAATGTACGTGCTACTTAATTTAGTTACTTCAATACAGAATAATGAACATTTTTATTCCAGCTCTTACTTATTCATTTCACCCCAGTTATCGAGTATAGACGCAGCAAATATAACACTAACCTAATCACTTGGAGAGAAGAATAGGCAACAACTCTATAAAAAAGTACACCACTTAGGGCTCATAAAGAAGAGTCCCAACTCTAGAATTGAAACTAAAATTGTTATGCTTTGAGGGAAGTGACCATTTGAGGGGGTTGTAGTGACTCACGTTCATCACGAGAACACGACTGGTTTAATAAAAACAATTATTATTATAACCAACTGTACCAGTGTTTATTTTAATGTGCTTTTGTTTGACTGTGCTAATGACAGCTATTTTGTGCTTCCATTCATATACTTACACTTCGATTGTAACTTCGCGCGAATTCGGTTACGTTCTGTAACCAAGCTTGTATCCTGGCACGATCTCGGTATCCTTTCGATGCCACGAGATCGCCAGCTAATAAACCTCGACTTGGTCCATTAATTGCCTCCTGATACTTGGCTTCTCGGGGATTTTATGGAGTCATTTGGAACGAGCTTCTTACGCCTTCTGATCTACTTGGCACGTGTTTGTTGGTAGCGGTGTTCACAGTTAATCTCAACTCGACACCACGCTACAGGGTAAACGAGGCAATATTTGGATGAAAGCCTGTAAAATTCAGCTCAAGGCATTATCTTATGTTTCCGATTATTAATATAATTCAAATTCATGATTTGAAAATAAATGAATATTGAGACTCAGCAACTGGTACGGGTTTTCAAGAGTCCTTTGGGAGGATCATATACAAAGGAGATACCCATGGGCTGTTCGATGGTTGGATAATTCCTAAGTACGTCATGCGGTCGAATTCATTTTCGGCCAGTCTTAGCTTTTCGGAAGCTAGTCGATATGTTGTCGAAAATAGAGGTGGTCCAGTAGTTGTGATGTGGTTTGCGACATTTCTGGTTCCACATGGTAGTTGCAGTCGTCTTTTGTAAACATGAGTCGGCCCTATGCATAATGGCGAACGGGCAAAACCTACGACAAGGAAGTGAGGTTGTGAAGAGTCGACTGCATGAGAGGGTCTGAAAGATAAATGAAAAAAGTCAAGGTGAGCCGGTGACTCAGCATATAGAATGCGCATACATTTGATGGTGAGAGCAGCCAAAAATAATTAGCAACAACAGCCGTGAAATTAAATCATTCTGAAGACAATTATCACACACTGCTTTTCAAACTCTCCCAGTATTCAGCGTAGATAGACACAAACCCGTTTAAGGCCGAGCCCAACGTTTGTCCTTGAGTGGCTTACCATATGACCTTGTGGCGTAAAATAAATACTCCTGCCCAACTGTTTGGTCATTGGAACTTTTCGGTACAGCGAGGTAAAAAGCCGTAAGATAACTCCCAAAGTTTTTTACTTAATTGTTAAGGACAGAGCTCAACGGCGAGACTCTAATTTATGGATTAGACAATCAGGAGCGTTTTAGAGATTTCAAGGTTACGGCGCCAACTTCAGTACCTAATGCTAACGTACGATCGTTTCATAGGGGATTTTATACAAAAAGTGATAATTGAGCGGCTATAACAAATAAAACGGCGTATCTGAGTATATGCGTAAGTGCTGGTGCTGGTGTGAGTAATGAGATAAGTTCACTTATGATGAAAGCCAGGACGGCTTATGCCAATCTGGTTCATCTCTGGCTCCGTGGTTAGTCTGGCTTTAAAAGGTCAGATCTGAAGCGCGTCAGTGACAGCATTTTTTCTGTATGCTTGTAAAACCTGGCCTCTCCGAGTTGAGGATGCTAGACAACTGTCTGTGTTTGATCATCGTTTTCTCCAAAAGACCCAAGCAACCAACAAAGGGGAAATAAAGGGGAAAATGCGTTGAAAGAGAAAGAGAAAAACGCGCCAGCACTCAAGTGCTGACATCCAGTAGGAAAATCATGTTAATGGCGTGGAGCTTCGGCAGCATGTATCTAGGTACACTGACGACAATTTAATTGATGCCACCATCGTGGGACACCGACTTTGATGGCTTGGACATGTATATACGAATGTCGTCACAGCAAATTCTACACCACGCATTATTTGTCGATCCTGGGAGAGGTCATTACACGACATAGTGTCATGGTATGAAAGAAGGCTGTACAGAACTGGCTTTTGTTGATCCTTCACGGCTCTCTGACTGGAGTCCTAGATGTAGCACAATGTTGTTTAGTAAACCCTAAAACCTTTACAATATTTTTGGGCTTTTTGTCCCATTCTTACGACCTTTAATGAAACTTCCCCAAAATTGGCGAAATTTTCCTCAAAGTTGAAAAATCGGAATCATGAATATTTCGAAATTTATTATGAGTAAAATAACAAACTCACCAGCCATTATAAATGGGAGATGTGTTTACTACTCAAGATCTATAGTTGCGAAGGTAAACACAATTAAGTGCCACAGATGTAAGGATAGTAAGGGGAGATACTCAGAACTTTAGGGTCCTACAACAACTCATACCAAAGTCTTATCAATATGAGATAGGCTTGAGTGATTCGCTAGGTTGTCACTGCGAATGAGATTGGGGAGCTAAGAACTGCCCTATTTTATTGATTTCTAAAAGCCAACGGAATAGATTTCAGAAGAAAAAATTACCCCACTAACTAAATGTGTGAATATATATTATGATATGTTTATGTACATAATATATAACCAAAATAGCGTGACTATGAACTTCTTGTCAATTAACAAACAAATGATCTGAAATAGAGATGAGAGTCAAAACAACCAGTGATCATTCACTTCATCTCGTGATAATAAGGACTTCTCAAATAAGCTTTTCAAATACGCGAAGTTCATGGGATGACATAAACTAGCCTCTCTTAAATCAGTTGAGAAAGTTAATGGTAGAACTCAACCATCTGAAGTTTCATTTCCAGTTAGTATACGGGAGTTCTTGTAGAGATAACCCTAATCTTGTTGAACCAAAATTTTCAGACACAAAAGTTGACTTTCACAGCAACGCTTGTAACGATGTAGTGGAGTCACGTTTCGCTTAGTCTGCTGTATTCCTAAATTCAGTTACTTCATGCACCACAATCCTTTATGTCTGTTTGGTACTCACTCGCTTCACTCACAGTGGTTTGGAAACCATATTGGTTATGAAATCCAATCACACGAAATCCCTTCACAATTAGGTACCCCACTATTTTGACAACTGTCGTTTGTTGCACTTTCGGCTGATTGTATTTTACTACCGTCAGTTATGCAAAGATCAACACTGAATTTTGTGCAGGTTTCTAGTAATAGGTTCCCTTATAAGGTGAAGGCGAATTTAATTGTCAAGAAATCCTTCCGTCCGAATGTATGATGTTTTTTAATGGTAGCATTGGCCACTATTTCTCCATCCAACTTGATCTGCTGAGGAAAGACGTGATTTTTCTCCAATATAACGCCCCAATATAGTTTAAACAATTATTTATGGTTTAGGCCTTCCAAAATACATTTATCAGAGTGTTTGATACTAGTGCGAATCGATTTTTTTATGTAAGTAGTGTACACTGTGTTGGTTTATAATTATTTCCGTTATTACTGATATACTTCGAAATTTCTTAAATTTTAGGATTTTGATTTTCCTGTTTCATTTTTAGAACTGCAAACTTATTTTGCTATATTGACGTGCATTTTCTGATTCCAGTTCAAATAAATGTGGTCGGTCTTCTTCAGCTTCAGCTTATGCTAGTTCTCCATCTGTTCTATCCCGTAAATTGGTTAATTTCTGTCAGGAGATAGTATTGTTCATTTAATGACCTGATAGGTAATAACTATCTGAGCTTGAATACATGAACAGGACATCTATCTTTGTGGCATCGTCTGTTTTTGTGGCGTCTGCGTTCACTCTGTTTTGTTTCTCGAGACTATTTCAAAGACCACATGTTAAAAAAGTCTCGTTCAAGCCATCAGTGCCTCGTTTCACATTAGGCGATACGTCACTCCCTAAAGTTATCGAATTCGACAAGGGAAATTTAACGCTTGATTTCTGTACATCCATCTGTACACTGATCAATATATCTGATTATGACACAAGACAAAGGCTTATCATCAGTCTTCATCAAGCTTCATCATTTCGTCGGAACTTTGTAATTAATTAATTTCATCATTAACTATTTGATTCCAGGATGTCATTAGGGACTCTAAGTGCCTAGAACTCCTCCTATCTCTCCTGGATTCTACCTCAGGGACGTTATCAGGACGCCAGCAAAACCTAAACATTCTTCACGTTGTAATGAACTTGGCGTGCGATCAACAAAATTTTCCAATCATAAAGGTATGAGATTTCCATTCAAATAATCTCTTTAGGACTATCTCGATGATATTTTATTAATAGCAAATGCAGTGGAATACAGTGATCAAGTATGCGTTGCTCTTCAGGTCCTCGGTAATATAGCATTAACTCCAGATGGATGCAAATTGCTACGTAATAAATGTGGTTATCTCTGTAATATGTTAAAAATGCGCGATCCATACGTCCTACGAAATCTACTAGTAGTTTTTGTGAATCTGTCCTGTGACATAGATTGTTGTGGTGAAATTCTTACACAGGTATATCTATAGCTTTCATATATGGCTTCAGGATCCTGAGGAATTTATGAGAACTTTGGAGTACTCATTGTCTTCGAGTGCACCCATATCAGTTTCTCTAAAAATGATCGTTCTCCTCAATAATCTATATTCTCGGATGATACAGAAGCAAGAAACTTCACGGAAATCATCTGATTCCTCACCCTCTTCAACGTCTATAGCTAATTCACTTAAGGTATGCTCTAGTCTATAGTCTGTAATGTGATTTTAAAGTTTCTGTTCAAATATCCATTCTTTTGCATGTATATGTTTATATTTCCAGAAGTTCAAGTTTCCAGACAATGATTTTGTCAATAAGACACTATTGTTCCGAATTGTGTAAGAAATTCACTATCGTTTTTCTGTATGGATTAGATTTTTCATTTCCATACAGGATCATATTGTTCACTATTTCAACTACTGAGTACTGATCGTGCTTTTGGTTTATTTGTATTTTGTACTTTGATCGCTTAATACAATGTCGGCGGCTAAGCTGGACGGATCTAGAAGATTTGGCAAATTTCGGTCCCTGATCAATATTGCCCATATATGTGGTTCCCGGGATTCTGATATAATGAATAGTATATGAATTTATTACAGTTACTGACCATTATATAAATGTATTCGATAACGTTTCTTTATTGCTCCATGAATCAGAATCACTGGTCAAAGTCATCGTTAGTGGTCTCTTTAAAGGTCTACTTGGTTTGGTATGGGTACTCGAATAACATATGCATTTTGCTACAGATGTCAGCTGACAGTTGATTTTTTGATAGTTTCGTATAGTACTAGGCACACGACTGGATGCCTTCGACTAAATGGATGAGTTCTTTTAGAAGACATACACTGGTATGCCATCTCAGAATAATACAATGCTTATCAGACTTTGCTCAAAGGGACTCGTACCAACCGATCATGCAGGCCATAAAACTGTGGCTGTAGTTTTCCGCACTTCTCAGATGATTCTTTAATTATGTTTTTACTGAGTGTACATGATATGCTAGAAAAGTTTCTGATACATGGAGAAGACACTTATTGTTCCTACCTGAGTCGCGAACCAGCTTTATCATATCTAGTTCTTGTTGTGGTTCGATGATGTATATAAAGATAACCGAAGCAGTCCACCTACTCAGTTACGTCTATTACTGTTGCCAAACTATTTTATGACTCAGATCGGTCCTGAAGCCTCAATTTAAATCTTCGGAAATAGGACTGGGAAACATTTCAAACCCCTTCATAATTCTACTCAAGTTTTTTTCGTGGTACCCAGATACTGGCGCTACTTTAATAACCGTATAGAACGAATATGATGTTATTAGAAAAATGTATTGGTAAGAATAGGTTGGAGAAACAGTGTGACTACTGCCGCATGTATCAGTCCATGATGTACAATTTATTAACTAGCGTAAATCATCCTTGATTTTGACGATGTTCGATAGACTATCTAACTATCAGTGATCTGTCGTTTAACTTAGAAACAGTTCAGCCTGATGAATGATTTGACTAGGTTCCAGTGAGGTTTTACTGGTTCTACAGAACATCATTTTTAGATGCACATCAATGCTAAAATTAAATAAAGAATGGTGAAACTAGACAGCTCTGATGAAGATCACTTTATTTATGTGATGATATTTGGTAGAAAAAGTCTGCTGGATATGTAGTTGTCAGTGGTTTATGCAGCTGTAATTTTTTTGTTTGGTCGTTAACATTCGTTAATAGAAGATGCAAAGAAATAGATTATAACTGGCAGGTGCAAAGTCATCTTCTGGATTGTCAATCACATTTTTTTCTACTAACTAATTCTTTCTTCCTGTACTGTATACTTATATGCAATTTTTCTCCTATATATTACCACCTTTGACCTAACCACTCCTATGAATCCGGTGTTCATCTTGCTGTGCTAATGCGGTATGGCAACCTGGACCGATGCATATATGTGCCTGGTCCTACGTTGTAGCTGACTGACTGAAATGGTGTAAGTGGTCTTCTCTATCTGGTTTTAATCAACGTTCTTTTTTATGAAATCGGGTTGTTAACCCCATGTCAGCGCTCCTCTTTTACCCAGGCATCGGATCGGGAGTATCCATAGAAGGTCTCCAGACGGAGTAACACTTTTCAAAAGCTAGAATGATAATCAGTAGTTCAATAATATTTTAAAATCTTTTCCAATGAATACTCTGTCGAGGGTCAAATCTGTGACCGACAGGATGCAACCAAACCAACCATCAGTTGTCTGTCAGTACTTTAATCGCCGACATTTTTCCACTCGTTTTTAAAGAACTTCACTTGTTGTCTTTTCATTATAAACGTGAAAACTAGTTGAAGGTTACTAGATTTAAATGGTTACATGAAAAGCAGATTCTACTGTAATTTACATATCTTCATTCAGTTTACACATGAAGTTTTTGTTGTTCGACTGATTATTGCCAATATATTTTTTCTTTGCCGTTTATTTTTATATATGTCCCTTTTGTTTTCCAGAATAATTGCACTCTAGTTAAATCGTGGATTATGTTCTTGATATCTTCATCAAAAGACCCGAGTGAACTCGAATTTCATTTGCAAAAGCTTGCATCTTCTTTGGAAAAAGTGGAAAATTTCAACGTTGAGTTATGATGTCCAGTGATTTTGCCATCATACATTACATTTATCAAATGTTAAGCAAATTTTTGTACATTTTTATTTTTCCTCAAATAAACTTCATTTCTTTCGATGTTTTATCTTGTATATTTTCTTTTTGTTGCTTCGCTGATGGAAAAAATATGATGTATCCCAAAACTTTTAGTCATGCTACCCAAAAAATCTTTATCGACGCTATTTGGGTTCCTCAACACTCCAGTGTTATCAGAAATCAAAGTTTTCAATTGTCCTGACCGTAATGAATACTCTATTATAGCTGAGTGGACGCAGACTGACACTTTTCGAAAAGACAGTGTTTCATATTCAAGAAATTATCTGGTCACCTTACCACAACATGACATGCATGAAAATATACATGTGGACTACACTTCACAACTACAGTTTACCTCATTTGGACAGTGTTTTCCTTTCGCCTCACAGAACCATGTACGTACTATTTGGGATATTAAGTCTCCTGAAGGTTGTCATCGAGCTGTGTGTATCGAATGTAATCCTCCACTGGCTTCAAATCCTTCAAAGTCTACTGTCGCTAGTACCGCAGAATCAGGTATTTTCATTCAAGTGTGGATAAATGGACGTTTCACCAACTCTATAAAGCTCCCAACACTTAATGCTCGTCATGGTCGTGTCTATCCTTCGAATAGTTCGACATTCTATGGAGCTCGATGGTCGAATGCAAGAGATAAGATTGTTTATTTGGCAGAAGTGTGTAATAATCCTAGTGAGGTAATAGTTTTTATCATTTTTTGTAGTCATCGTATACATTATCGAAAACGGAAAAATATGTTTCATAAGTGTAAATTTGAAAGCCTACCTACTTATTAATAAGTCGTAACCTCTGACGTATTATTATCAGTATAAAGTATGTAATGTTTTTAAGTTTTATTAATTGATCTAGTGCGTCTCAATTGAACAGCTTCAAGTAATAATATCTATGTAGTACGGCCGAGGATGGGGAGAGTCTGCTCCCTTTCCAGATGCTCCCATATGGCCACGCCTATATAACCACTGCCAGGAAAGTCTTATTCACTGCTTCCTCATGGCAGGGTAGTTGTTTACGGAATTGAGAAGATGAAAAGCAAATATCCGGTGCTTAAAACGGGTTGGTGGATAAGGCGGATTTTCCTGGGAGATTTTTAAAACTCTGATTCGAATTAATGGCATACATGCGTTCCACTATCTTGAGGGAACAAATAGCGTACGGAACTATTGTTGGTGACCGGCTACCATGGGACTGCATCACCTAATGGTACTCCACTATCTTGTGGTTTAAACTTCTGGGTTAAAGGCTTGGGGTTGGTCCTCTAGTCAAATCACTTCGGTTTGGACACCTGGGTAGTATTCCAGCCCATATACAAATTCAATAGTTTGCGTGGCGCGTATATATTTTTGTACCCTTTTGTACCACTGTTTATGTATTTAAATGAACAAATCATAGGTGTTCACATGTTCATGTACTTAATTCAACCTATTGCGTAATGTAAATAAAATAAACTTGGCCAAATTTGAAACAATAATAAAGTTATTTGTTAGTAAGTATTATCTTTCTAGACATATTTTACTTTTTTTCAATGTAATTACAATATAAAGTAAGTTTATTTACAAGATCTCACGAATTACAAAGATGGAGCAGTTTAGTAATAATATGTATCGATTTGATATTGGGATCTAATCCTCATCAATTATAGCTTTTTTTATTTTACGCTTAATATTTTCCTCTCAGCATGTATATATTGTTTAATTTCTTACTGCCAGTAGTAACCTTACGCAGCAATTAGTCATCAGTATGTACTTGTTGGGGGGTGGCCCCCTAAGAAAACCACCTGCTTCGGTTTGGGCACCCGGGCAGTATCACAGCCCTCACACATATCAAATGAGATTTCTGTGGGGCATATGTATTTGGTGCCTCTTTGTACCAATATCTATGTGTTGAAATAAATAATGTACTTGTTGGAAAGTATTACTGTTCTATGTGTTTCACTAATTCTCTATTTCTTAATCTAAACGCTGCATTAAGAACTAATTAATCTTAAGAAGATTTAATCTTTTTTTCTTTCTTTCGAATTTTCTTCTTTTGCTTATTTTACTTTAAAAATTTAGTGTAAGTTTATCGATTTATACGATAAATTAAAGTTAATTTTCAGTTATTGTCTGTTGTGCATTAAAGCTAAGAATTATGGGTTTGTTTGTGATATAGTTCAAACATCTTGGTTTTCATTCAAAGTTCGTACGTACGTATGAAGTTCTACGTTGTTACTGATTGATTGACTGACTGACTGACTGAACTAGAATCCAATTAAAAATATGAAAGCACTAAGTAAGCTAAACAGAGGCCAATATACTGGAAAAAATCATCATCTGTCTTTAGGAAAGCTATGATCTATGAACTATACTCAGCATATGATTTGTCATAACTAAGTATTTTTCATATATGTGATTTTATTCTAATTATTAATCAATATATAAATGAGTATATTTCCGACTAGACTTGTCGTTGTTTATGCTTCTAGCTCCTTGAAGAATACATTTCCGTCTTCCGAACTTGGACTTCTCTCTTTAGTTAGCGGGGCTGGGACGCATCGGAATAGCTAGCTCATCTGTCATTGTATCACAGTCTTCGTTCCGTTCTCAGATTAGGTGAACTCGTAATCTCTTCAGACATAACACAACCCATCGAAGATCAATGACTTTATACTCATTCGCTTGTTAAACTGTAAGCTACACAATAAATGAAGACTTTATCTAAGCCTTGGAAGAGTTGAGTGTCTAATTTAATTAGCTATATCTTTGTCTATGGTAAAGGGTATTCAGTGTTTAGTGAATGGACGATGAAATCGAAAAAGAGATCTTTATACCACAAGACTGTTTATTAGGAATTTTTTAAAATTAGACAAGTGTTAGGCCTCGAAAGTATAACTGTTGTATAAAGTGACTATGAGAAATTACTGATAGATAATATATTATTTGTCACAGAGCACATCGTCGGTAAAATATTTTAACGGTATTGTAGAATGATTGGATTTGGTAAATAATTTGTGAGAATCAAATTTGTCAAAGTATCGTTAGCTACCTGACAAATACCTCAGTTTTGTGCTATGTAGTGTTGTAGCCAATTGGTTAGAACACTCAACTTTCAATCTTTAAGTCACAGGTCCGAACTCCGCTCCACTTATTTTTTGTTTGAGCAACCGGATAGTATCACACTACGACTTAAAATCAAACACTAAAATTATAAGTGAATTCTATATTTTATTAATGTTGTTAACCCCAATATGTTCCCCATCGGATGTACTTAGTCTTTCTAAGCAGACAGATGTACAAAAAACCGACATAACGGATGGTTTAAAATACATTTCACTTATATTACGATAATACGTCAGGACGATAAGACTATTTACGTTATATCAGAACCAGGATTCACAACCTAAAAACAGAATCAAATTAACACTAGATAGTACTTTATTCAATTAGTTACTCTCATTGAGTGCGGTGTAGGAATCAATGGGAGGAAAGGAAACTACATATTTAATACTGCGAAGGATGAGTGCCTGTTTGTTAACTTTCAGTGACCAATCATATTTCACTTTCACTACCACATATCAAGAACTGAATATATTTTTCCGCATAATAGGGATCTAAAGCATCAAAGTGGAGTTTTGATTGTTCTTATTCAGTTAACAACAGTTTTAGAATGTTTGTAATTTTCATTTATGATTTACTGATTCGTAGCTGAGTGGCTTTTTATCGTTACAAGTCTTCTTTAGGATCAATCTTTTTTATGAAAATGTTAGCAACATTCCCGTCGTCACCCTGTCGTTTCGATACTAGGTGTGTGATTCAATGTGCTAACTATTTTAATACAATAAAAAATAAACCGGATTTTGAAAGTGATCCATTACGGATCAATCTTTATTAGCTCAAAGATAGCATTAATACATCCATCAAATCTCTTTCAATTTATGTAGTTTAATTATTATTCCTAGAATACTACTACTAATGATCAGTCATTCAAAGATGACCCTTCATCGTTTGTATTCCAAGAGGATTGGGGTGAAGGCAATGAAGGATCGCATAAACCGAAGCTTTGTATACTTGATCTTACTACTGAAACTGTTAGTTTTGCTCCAATCGATGAAAATAAGTATAATTTGGCTTGCAGTGAACCGTTATGGAGTCCAGATGATAATGGAATTATATTTGTTGGTTATCCTTCGCAAGCTTATAATCTTGGATTAATTTACTGTATTCAACGTCCATCTCAACTTTATTTTTGGGACATAAGTAAGTTATGATTGATTTGTAAAACAATGAAGTCAGCAATTTTTTCTGTTCATAAATTAATACACAGAGGTGTTAAGTTATACTCTTTTTTCCAAATTTCGAAGTGAAGATTTCGTTGGATAACATTAGCCTCATGAATGCCTCTAAAGTAGCAAGTAAGTTAAGATCATTCAAACAAGTCAACAAATAAGATATTCTTAATTATTGACTTACGTTATGATGAATCTCGTAAAATTTTAATAAGTTTAATTAGAATCTGTTAAAAATCAACAGTTAAATGCTCCAAAACGTTTTGTCTGTTTATATTAGTCTAAAGTGAAAGTAATTTTCAAACTAATTGGTTCCTCAAAAACCAATAGGTTGAACCAAACACGCTTGAAGGAAATATTTTAGCAGCTGATCGTTAGTTAGCCGAAATATTCTGTGATCATTGTGGACGTTTTTTCGATGAAGTCCTAAGTTAGAGGATGAAGCTTATCCACAACTTTCTTTCATAGTTTTCAACATAGACTGATGTCAGCTAAAAAGTTATTGGAAGTTAGGGAACATTAAGCAGGTGTTTTGCCTTAGTTTCAGGCTTTTCAACATTCACATTTACGACCATTCACAAAACCCAGGCAGCGATCTTTAGACCTCTCAGTAAACATGATGCACATATTCACTGTATCGCAACTCATCTGTCTACGTTCTCTTAA